AGGATGGGGGTGGGGTGGTAGAGGATGAGGAAGAGGGTGGGTAAGAGAATGAAGATTAGGGATGGGTAAGAGGATAAGGAAGAGGATGGATATTAAAGGGGCTGTGGAAGATGGATGTGGAAGATGGATGGGTAATATGATGAAAATGAGGAATGGATAAGAGGATGGGGATGGGGATGAGGAATGGATATGAGGATGAGGGATGTGTAATATGATGAGAATGAGCAATGGGTAAGAGGATGACGAAGAGGGATATTAAAAGGACTGAGGAAGAAGGATAGGTAAGAGGAGAAGGATAGGTAAGAGGATGAGGAAGAGGAATAGGCAAGAGGATGAGGTAGTGGAATGGGTAAGTGGACGATGGAGATGGATGAGTAAGAAGATGATGGATGAGGGTGGGGTAAGAGAAAGCAGAAAAATCAGAACTGATTTTATTATTTACTATATGAATCTATGTATCTACCTATTATTTGCACGCCACCATCGAGAACTTTTTAATAATGTCACGTTCGCGCATGCCCCACACCCCATACATCGCCTTCGGACCCAGCCTCAGGACCCGCTGCCTGAATAGCGTCCACTGTCCATTTGAAGATGGATTCTCGGGACGCAGGAGAAAAGAGCTCCCACAAAATGAGGAACAACTGGTCATCCTTTCAGTGAACCTTAGTTCTATCTATAAGTACCACTTGAGTGCCATGAAGGGGCACCAGACCTTGTCCTCCGCAACCCACGAGAATTCCGAAAGGGGACTGAGGAAAACCTCCACCGGTCCGGAGGACGCCGACTGATTTTTGGCAAACCCGACATGAGTGGCAGCGAAGGGCGAACGGTAACCACGAATAGTGGAAAGGGCTCTACCCTTGTCAAACAAGTAAGTCAAAAAACCACTATCACACCTGCCGAAGTCTACGGGTGAGACCCCAAGGCCTTAACACCAAATGGAGAAGGGCTCCAAAGGAGAGTTGTAAAGGGTCCTTGTGGGATCCCTACGACTCTGGACTATAAACTATGAGACTCTCTTCAGAGAGTCCAGAAGTCAACGTCCTCCCGACACCGTCCTGGCAGTCAGAGAGAGCAAGCACCACGGGACGACGACGGAGAATCCCCGCCAGAGGCTGGAACAACACGTCCGGCCGAGAGAGGGAACAGATGTCCGCAGCAACAGGGACAGAAAACCGAACCCACCGACCTGAAACAAGCCAGAGACGGGAAACCCGCCGGGGAGCCTGTTGCCCCAACATCAGCAACGGACTCTGATTACCCTCAAGGTTAGCTGGGGAATTGTGTCCAAGAGATAATTCCCCCCAAAAATGGAAGCACTGAATCCAATGACTAGGGTAATAGTATATTTGTAAAGCACTTAGAGACATTTGTATTAAACGCTATATAAAAATTGAATATTATTATTATTATTATCAAGACGGATCCCAACCTAAAACAGGTACCAGCTTACAACAGACAAGCCTAACTGGGCTTCAGAACAGACAGATGGGACCAGGGTAAACCCTGTCGCCCACCAAGATGCTTTGTTACAACGAGAAGCCCAGTCTGAACGGTTGGAGAGAACGCAGGCTGAGGTCTAAAAATCAGCACAGCCTTCTCCGTCTAAGTCACAGTCGGAGACTGGACATCAGAAGGCTACAGTAAACCTCATAAAATACAAACTACAAACTTCGTTCCCCTTGCTGAAGCGTCGGGTGACGAAGCTTGCTCAAGGGCCTTGCTAAATCTGGAAGGTTCAGCTAAATAGGCTCAACATGGTCACAAAACATAAAACCAAACTATCACGAACAGACAAAAGGTCCCGCCGCAGAAGCGGTGATCCGTGAAGCGTAACAAGCCAAGGTGGGACGTTAGGTCAGTGAATAAATTAACCGCCTTACCACACGTAAGAAATCCCAAACAGCAAAGGCCGTAACGCCAGGACCAAACGCCCTAACCCAGCGGCGTACCAAAGCCTGTAATTTATGGTCGTGAAAGTGGAAATATGCGGAGCAGAAATGATACCCAAATTTCTGCAAAAATAAATATGTGACTTGGGAACCTGTACCACCATATTAATAGCAATAAAAAAGAGGACGGAATTCAATGCGTAAAAAGAGCTAAGCCTATCGAAAAAAGGACAAAATCCTTGAATTTAAATGTGACTCAGCTGTAACGATGTCTCTGCCGGTAGGCGAGAATAGAAAGAGGATGAATGGCGGGTGTGCGTTGCGCACATGAACCCTGGGAAGGCGAATTATGGGGGTGGGGCATACGCGATTGTGATGTTTTTAGAGTTGTGGCGTAGTTTGGATAAACTAGCAAATGATAGGTAGATACATTGATTTATTGTGGTAAATATGGGTATTATGGATGGGTACAATGGATGGGAAAGATAATGAAGAGAAGATGATAAAGTATGAGAAGAAGAAAGAGTATAAATGATAATGTTCTAAAAGGACATAGAAGTGAGAGACAGAAAAAAAAGCAAGTCCATGCAAAGCGTAGCGTCCCTTCGCCGGGTAAAAATGGCCTATATTTAGCAAGTTTTTAATATTTATGAGCTGTCACCTTTGACCTTTGACGTACATACTCAACAACATTACTTACATTATTGAATGAAAACCACATTTTCGCATATATAAATAGGTATTTTGCATATTTAAAGAGCTATGACCTATGACCTACATACTCCAAAGTTGAAATTATGCTGTATTTTGATACCATGTACCTTCATATCAAGTTTCATTCAAATCCGTCGAAAAATTACTAAGATTATTGAACAGAAACCAAATTTTCTAATTAGCTTTTTCCCCACATATTAAATGAGCTCTGACCTTTGACCTACATACTCCGCAATCGAAATTGGGCTGCTGTATTTTGATACCGTTTACTTTCATATGAAATTTCATTGAAATCCGTCAAACATTACTAAAGTTATAGAGCGGAAACCAGATTTGGGTATTTTGCATATTTAATAAGCTATGACCTTTGACCTTTGATCTACATACTTTGAAATCGAACTTAGGCTGTATTTTGATACCATGTACCTTCATAACAGATTTTTTATTAAAATCCGCCAAACATTACTAAAGTTATCGAACGGAAATCAGATTTGTTACGAACGGACGGACGGCTGCGTTACTAGATCCCCTCCGACTTCGTCAGCGAGGGGATAATATAAGACTAAAATATACATGTAAAAGAAAGTAAAAAAGAGAAAAGGGGAGATAGATACAGATACAGAAAAAGAAAAAGAAAGACGAAGACATTAACAAAAATACAAACAAATAGAAAGATAAAAATGATATAGAAAGAGGAAAGATACAATTTTCTTTTCAAAACTACACCCTTTGCGATCTCCTCACAACCTTCTCAATCTTGACCACCCTTTCTTTCCTTTCCTTTTTTACTTCCATATGACCTAATTCTTGGTGTACAAACCACATAGTGTTACCGAAAGCCTTGAATTGTGAATGACATACGATATTCTCCTATTGAAAGAAAGATTCAATACTCTTAGAAGATGTAAAGAGCTATCAAGAGAATTCTACAATATCGAGAAACATCCCTGCTGCAATGGAGAGAAGGGTAAACCAGAGAGAGCATTGGACAAGATAAACAGCTGCTAAACAATACTGAGAATGATTAGGTATTACACATTTGAAGTAGAGCCTACTGTATTAAAACATTAATTTATATTAGTGGAGACTTGAGAAGAAAAGTAGAAAAAGCTATATATTACATCTTTATTATATTTTAAAGGAGTCCTATCCTACCATAAGAAAAATCAAAACATCCCACAATAAAAGCAATTATATATGATTAAGATACAAACTGGAAAGATAAGAGAAGGAAAAAAACTATTCATTTCACAGAGAGTCTAACAAATCCTATTAGAGAACACACATGGGATTTACAGGTGCTGTATTCCTGAAAATAGTGAACACGATGTATTTTTTTTCTGATATAATGCTTAATATGTCCTCTGGTAAATATGAATAATAAACTAAATTTAATTTTGTTTTTTACCCCAGCCACATAAAGGTGATTTATTTCTTCATATGTGATTTGTGTTTCTTCTTCGAATTGGTAACATGTCAGGAAAATGCACCCCTTTAAAAGATAGGATTGAGAATAATCCACTACAAATAGAGAAACAGAAGGGGATTTGCTTTACCGGTATATGAGTAGAACCTACATATGCATAACATGTATATAATGTATAAGAAAATAGGATTAAATAAAAGTAATTGCAAATGGGAGAAGATGAGATTTCAGTTGTTTCTTTTAAGGGACTGGAAAACTTTACCAAGAATCTTATGATCACTAATGCTAAAGGATTATAGTGATTTTAGTGTTTTCCCGTGTAACTCGTCTCGACTTTGAAGGGAACACACATCCTTTTTAAACTTAATTTTAAACCTTTTTTTTATAAAAAGAATGTGTTCTATTCAATTTAATTATTTTGTCCATCTTATTTTGTTTTTCATTTAACGTCTCTTTCTAAATTTTAAATTTCATATTTTTTAATTGTATTTTATCATTAGTTTGCAACCATTTTTGTTAGTTCATCATTAATTGTTGGCATCTTTTTTTCTTATTCTTTCGTGCATTCCACATGAAAGAACATTCTGTCTACAAGTACATTATCAGTACACATCCTATAATAGGCCAGTTTGTAATTGCAGTTTGAAAATTTGGTTTTAAAAAATGTGCAAATTGAGAAAATATTGGATACATGTTCAAACATTCATTTTATTTTATGCACCAGTATGGTATTTCATGATACACGGGTAAAGTTTTGCATCTCTAACTGGAGATAAATGGCATTCATGTGACTCCTCAAGTTCTACAATCCCTATTAGGCCTCTCCATGTTCAGATATATATTTAGTGGTTATTTGGTGCTAATTACAAACTGGGTAATTGGACAGCTCCTGCCAAGTCTAGCTCTTACAACAAGATACATTGATTTGATTTGTTGATTTGTTTTATTGTCCACATTACGTGGAATTTTTTACTTCACATGGCTAACAACTATATACAGTACATAAAGCATAGGTCAATTGAACACATTTTAAATTACACATTGCTCATTAATCACCGAGTAGGTCATATTAATAATTTAAGCTTAACCTTTATAAACTCAACACTAAATTTTATAACAATAAATAATACACATTGAAATATCAGTACAACTACTTTTATGAGATGGATGATTGCAAAACCAATAACTAAACTTACAAAAAAAGACAACTTCTGAACCCTTATAACAATATAACGTATATTAAAAAAGATTTTCAGCCAAATATTCACAAATTCTCAATGTAATAACCTACATGTCAAACCTCAGAAGTATACATGACTTCTATTAGGAGGTATTGGGTAAACTGATCTGGTGAGTAGGAATATATTATCACAAGGTAGACATTGAAATACCTGCATACTTACGACGTGTGTGCGCGTCCCACGGTGAGGCCTGATCTGTGGAATAAAGAGGTTAAACAAATGTTGTATTAGGCATCTCAAAGGAAATATGATGGGCAGATAATATCGTAAAAATAAACACAAATTAAACAATTTTGTTAGGTAAAGATTATACCAAGTTTATACATTAATTTCAAAATAGATTTATTTCTGAGTATGTAGACAAAATATAAAGACGTTTTTCACCTTTCGGCCCTACATTTTACTTTATATAAACATTTTCCACATAGAGGATACATATAAATGGTATACACTCCAAAATGATGAGGACATGTGCAAACAAAAGCAAAGATGAAGACTCCCCATGTTTTGCCAGGTAATGCTATAATGCTATAAAGAATTAATACTATTTTAAACATATGAAGCCAAAATAATGAACAGTAGACATACCTTCTTGGAATAATTTACAGGCGGTCAAAGAAAGGGAATGGCCTCCGGCGTCTACCTCGACTGACCACACCCAGTCTTTCTTGACTACGATAGTACAGCGGGTCTGGTTTTGAGTGACCATGCACTACCCGTCTCGGCTTCCTCCCTACTACTCCTATAGCAAGGCGTTTACGTCCCGAGAACCTCAGCAGTGTTCGACCCAGTATCCCCCCTCGGTCTCCCCCCTGCTGCTTCTGCGAATCAGTCTGTAGGAAAGGAGAATGAAGTGAGTTTAAAAATCATTTATACTAAGGGGGAAGTCCACCCTTAAATTAAGTTGACTGTAATAAAAGCATAACAATAAGAATATGAAAGTTATGAATTTTAAAGCTGTCATCAGTGAAAAAAATGTGACATCATGCAAGCTCATCTACAATTTTATGTTTATGCCCAAACTTTCACTGAACTGTTTCTCTCATGTTCTGATTCTAAAAAAATACACTTAATATCATGGTGGGCTTCCCCTTTAATTTCATTATGAGCAAGATGTTTCTGTTTCAAACTTTTTTTTAAATAAATAAAACGGATTATGTTTTCAGATAAATGAATTTTGAAAAACCCCTATATCATTGTGACAAATAACTATCATACTATTTAGAAACCTTGGATGCATCTCAGTTCATTTTGATCCAACTGATCATTAAAAGTTGCTGCTATGTTGTAAAGTTTTGGCTCAATGTCAAGTCTTCAATTAAACAAATTGTGTTTGGTACATTGAATACATTGCATGCTCATCTGTTTAGTTATTTTTTGTTGTGGGGGTAGGAATTGTTAGAATACTTAAAATTAGGAAAGCATATAAAAAAATTTACTTACCCAGGCTATAATCACACATTGCCTCGCCTCGCGGCAATCCGGGCCGACCTCCGCAGGTTCTGGTTTGCCCGATTGGCGGCACGACGTTGCTCTCTCTCCGCGGCGAGTTGAACAGCGGCGGCAGCTGCGATCTCTCGCTCTACCAGACGCGGTGACCTTCGTCTCGGGTGGAGTTGCTCACGCTCCTCCGCCCTCCTACGCTGTTCATCCTGCTGTTGGCGATGAGCAGGAACGACCTCCGCACGACCGTTCTCGCGATGCAACTTGTTGACTGTATAAACCAAACGAAAACATAAATGAGGACATGCTACTAGTACATGCATGGCATTTCACAGATCACATTCAAATACACGATTCTCCATTTATTCTGGAATATACCCCCCGTCAATGCACCAACGTACACATTCAATGATCCCAGGGTAAAGGGTAAAGGGGTAGGCTACTTTTCACGCAACAAAGTAAGGCCCGTACATACACAAAAATCTGGCCAGTATTGACTTTACACACCGGAGATAGGGGGTGCTTTCAAAGGGAGGGAACATGCATATATGCTGCCTACCCTAAATAACACTGAGTGGAGGGGGAGGGGGAGGGGGAGGGGGAGGGGGAGGCGGAGGGGGGCAGTGTAATTAGTTTCAAAATATTTTGAATCAATATACATATGTACATGAATCAATATTTACTCTTCCATTTTTAATATTTTTACCAATGGCAATATGCGGCCCTCGATTCCTGGAAAATTCTGGATCCGCTAATGGTCTGGGCAAATACATGTAGATCTATAGTCTATGGTCCACAAGACGCCTTTTTAAAATGTAGATCTAAGTTACATGTGAGAGATTTACTTTGAATAAATGCATACCGTGTTGCGTGCAGTAGAGTTCAACAGCGTTTTCGTCTAGCGAGTGACGTCCACGCCGGCTGCAACGTCTGCCATTCCCATGAAGCCCAATATGTGCAGAGCACTGGACCTCGGCTGGCTGTCTGTATAATAAAGGAAACATAAAACAGGACATATAGTCTATTACTTCTACTAGATTGCAAATAATAGAATGCGAATATATAAGACAAAAGTGCAGATGTTGCAATTTTGGTAAGACATTCGATAGGGTAATTACAATGAATGACCCAAAACAAATAACTTTCAACTCACTGAAGGGTCAATATCCTGCGTGTATTAAAGGGATTGTATCAGCAGTTTCCATGCGCAGAAGGCCATATTCGCTGACACCAGACTTGGTGGAAATACCATTAGTGGGGGTACAAATCTGCACACAGCAAACCCGTTGGCCAGTCAAGAATCCCCCCCCCCCCCTTCTGATTTCTCGGATAATACTCGAGAGTTTTCGGGTAACGGGTAAATCAAAGCATTACATAAGGTCTAATGCCTATGTAATGGTCATAAAACTCAAGGCTAACCCGGGTGATTGACAACACCTGTTGTTGGGTAAACACCCGAACGGTGTCGAATTCTCCATGAGAGCTGACTACTGAGTTGGTAAATTCATTTTTAATTTAGAAAATAACTATATAGATCTATCTACATACTGTCGGTGTTGCCAGCACTCATCCGGTTCATCAACAGGCCGGGTGCCTTCCTCCTACAACGAGTACCCTCCAGGGTATTCATCACACAGTTCCCGGTGAACTTGTTGCCGTAAAAGACCATTATTACACAAGTGAAATAACAGTGGTTCAAAGCAAGCTAGGCGAACGAAGCAAAAGCTAAGTAAATATCTCAAAACGACTTGTCTAGGACAGAATCTAGCAGAGAATGGTTAATTTCTTGCTTCCCATCTTACTCGAAACCTAAAACCGATTCGCGCGAGCGCGCTATTTGCATGTTCAATTGAAATACATCACGTGATTTGAGCAGACGAAGGAAATGTATTTGCCAGCGTTACATCGTACAGCTGGCAAATGTTGTTTATACGGCCAATAAGTAGTAAACACTAATTGTTCTCTGGCATGCGTGACGGAATTATTCAATTCCGTTGCGTTGAAGGTGTTTCATTTGAATATGAAAAGAGAGGATGCGAGATAAGGGTGTGGCCGGTGTAGAGGGAAGTCATTCTAGCTTCAGAGTGACATCTGTATGTGATGGTTGCTATGGGTGATATTATGTGATAAACGATGTTAGGATGAACTATTATTTGTCTGCGGTACGATTGTATAGCAGACAAATTAATGTTGTTTGTATCGTTAATGAATGCATACTTATGTTGGGCGCGGGGGGGGGGGGGGGGGCTGTGCCCCGATGGAATGTATATTTGCATAGGCAGCTCGTACAGGTGTGCGAGCTAATTCTGCTACGGAGACCAGCTAGCACTATGAATATGACTGACAAAGAAAGCGGACAAAATATACAGTTCCTCAGGTAGACCAGGAAGCTGTAATAAATGGAGATACCGTCTCGAAAGAATTTTCCGAGGGAGAAATATTCAAGATTAACCTGGCTTAACAAAAAGAAATGTAACCCTCTCCAGCCATCATTTCCATCAACAGCTGTCCATATCAATGCACAGTCCCTCTCTGGCATTCCAATAGTACAAATGTTACGCAACGCCATCTGCTTCTCTTAGTTCTCTATTCACTCTTTTGCAAAAATATGCAAGGATCGAGCTTTGAAGCCATGCGTGGCACCGACAAGTTAAGTCATATTCAGTGAAGATGTATTTAGCTATAACATATAAAATACAGAATTCACAACATATGACCAATGCAACTTTCTATTAGTCATCAAATGCTTTTTCCGTTCTCGGATAGCTCTACTAAAGACATGGCCATTTCAACCAGCGAAATCGACCAAGGAAATCGTGAGTTAGAGCGAATGAAGGTTTTCATCATCATGATTTTCTCATCTAATTATTGACATTTTCCGAAAATTTCCGAAATTTGTAGATAGCCAGGAAGGTACTCCAAAGGTTTATCTTCCTAAAGAACTAAATTAAATTGTGTTATATGCTTGCGCATTTATTGATTGAGGGCTGGAAGTTGTCAAGTTATCACCACTATTCACCCCCAAATACGAGCCGGCAAAGCAAAAGCCGCCGTGCTCGCTGGCCTGGGCTGTGTGTAGAAAGGGAGGACTTAGTGCTACTAGGAGCTGTACGGTTTCGGAGGGGGATTAAGGGGATTACGATAGAGAAACAAAAGACGCGCGGTGCCACGGATGGCTTCAAGGGGCCTCTTGAACGGGATCTCCATTTATTACAGCTTCCTGGGTAGACAAAGGAACATCCCTTCACTGCTATTATGTAAATGGTGAATGTACATGTGACGCCTGTTCTACACATTTTTACATAATAGCAGTGAAAGGATGTTCCTTTGTCTACCTGAGGAACTGTATATTTTGTCCTTGAACTTTCAACGAGACAACTTTTATTTACAATAAAAGTGCGTTGTGTCATGTAGTGTTACATATGACTGTGTTTGAATAAGGTTTTCCAGAGTTTTTATGCTCGTTGAGTTTTATCTCTGGTTTTTTATCCTGGACCATGATAGGTCCGGTTCCAGTGAAGGAAACGAGAAGAAATGTACATTCATACTGAATAAACGGCTGGCTCTCAGTAGTCGTTGTCAGGCTATTCCACAATAATTGAAGTGTATTATTGTGTTATTTGTGTGTATTGGGAGTCAAGAGGGATGACAGACGAAATAATATGTGAGATTATAGGACAGACTCACATTTGAGACTTTCAGTGCATTCACTCGAAGCAAAGTCATTTTGACTGCAACGGGCGCCAAAATATGCTGTCGATAATTGATGTGCTATTGAGCATACCGTGCTACCAGGCAGGGGCGGATCCAGCCGGCGCAGGCTAATTTTTTTTCCCAAACAGGTTTGCCAATGCTAATATTTCCGGTCATTTGATTGGCTGATATGCTACGTCATTAGCAATGACGTAACCGTTAGGGTGAGTGATAGGGTTACAAAATCATGCAGAATCACCTTTCATTAACCCATCGTTGGCTCAATCGGTAAGGTCAGCGTTATACAATCTTACAGTTGAGGTTCAAGTCTCAGTTTATTCAGTTTTTGCCTTTATAAATAGTGAGGCAAAGCAATACAATCAAAGTCTAATTGTTTGTGACCTCTTTCCAAGCTGCTAGTGACGTATAACATATTATCAGCCATTGAGAAGAACGGAAATATAAGAAATTGCAAACCTGTTTGGGAATAAAATTTCGCCGGCGGCAGGGAAGGGGAGGGGGCCCAATTTGTGAGAAAATATTTAGTGGCGAAAATTTAAAAATCGCACCGGCCGAGAATTCGCTCAGTGGGGTGGGGGGGGGGGGGGGGGGGGAGGGGATCATAGGGATATACTATATTTTTTTTTTGGGGGGGGCCCTTGAAAATTTGGAAAATCGCATCCCCCCCCCCTTGAACGCCAGGGAGGGGGCCCATCTCCATAAAAGGTAAAATTAAAGTGTTTTTACACGTTTTTTTCCGGGGGGACCACAGGCCCACCGGCACCCCCTCCCCCTGGATCCGGCCGCCACTGCGAGCACATTTTCTTTTCCGGAAATTAAAAAATTTGGCCGACCTATATTTCGATGGCTGGGGGGGGGGGGGGTAAGGTCACTTTTTTGGGGTCACCCTTTTGCACACAAAAAAAGGGTTTTTTTCTTCTTTTTTTTAATTAAAAAATCACACACATCAAAAATGTTAGTGGGGGTTCGACCCCCAATCCCCCACCCCCTGCGTACGCGCCTGTACCTATCTATAGTACTCAAGTTATTTTGACCCCCTTAAAAAAAAAATTAGGAGTCCAAAGACAGAGAGAGAAAAAAACTCCCTCTTTTAGAGTTTAGAGTTTTAAAAAATTTAAAAAATGATAATTGCAACATTGAGATATGATTAAGAATAGGCCTACAATAAACATGACACATTTAAATAATATCCAACTAAATGTTCTGTGATTTTTACAATGTAAATGTATATATTTTTAACTTGTGTCAGTGGCGGATCTAGGGAGCACAGGGGGCACGTGCCCCCACCCCCCCCCCAAAAAAAAATAGTGCTCATTACCACCCCCCCCCCCACCCCACCCCCACCTAAGAAATCCTGAATCAGCGACTGTGTGTATTCAGTTCTGATGCTGCAGTTTGAAAGCACCCCTTTATCTTCGGTGTGTAAGTCAGTGCGGGCCGGATTTGTGTGTATTACGGGCCGGACTTTGTTGCGTGAAAAGTAACCCTTTATCGGAAATTTGGGAACACAAAATCGGTCCCTCCGACCCCGGAGTGGGAGTGAGGTAGGGGGGGGGGGTATCTTCTTTCTTTCTTTTTTTCTCTCTCTCTCTCTTCTTTCTTTTCTCTTCTCTTTTCTTTTCTCTTCTCCTTTCTTTTCTCTTCTCCTTTTTTCTTCTCTTCTCCTTTCTTTTTTTTTTCTCTTTTTTTTTTGCGCCGCCAATAGAGGGGGGCCGGGGCCGCGGCCGTTTCGGCCCCCTGGATCCGCCACTGTGTTGTGTGTTATTTTTCTTGGCTTGCACCCAGCAGATAAAACATGCGCAAGCTCGATCTTGTTACTGAACAAAATATACCCCCCAAAATGGGAGAAAATCTGAACACCAGCTGGTTTTTTTTTTACTGTCCGAATGAAAACTATTCTTTCCCAAAATACTGTCATTTTCATCGGCCTGAAATTTGGAATGTACTGCTTAATGATAAAATTATAAATGCACCAAACCTCCTTCCTTTAAATCAAAACTCAAACGGTTCCTAACTTCCTACTATATAGGCATAATTAGATCTTTATACTCATGAAATATACCACAGCTGAAATTAATTCTTATACTTACATCAACAAGTAATCATATGAACCATACCAGTGGACCATGGGACTATCAGGCTATAGCGGAAATAAAAGATGGGTAATACATCCCCACTCACCACTGGACCCCCCCCCCCCCCCCCCGCCGAAAGAATATCCTTAATATCCTAGAATATTTTATTTTTTATTTTAATTTTTAATTTTACAAACCCCATTTCATGTATTGAATTGATTATCAAATGTTGATATTGATACATGTATTATTTTCTCTGTCTCTAAAGAACGGATATCACAAAAAAGTTCTCCTAACTGAGCCTGTCGGGTGTGAGGGTGACCCCCCCCCCCCCCCCGCCCTCCCATCAGGATTAAAGGTATGAGAGAGTGACTCGGCACAACAACGGGGTCGTGTAGAAGAAGGAGTAGCCTACACTGCGGATGTATATGAGAATTTACATTCTGCATTTTTGAATTAACAGGGATCTGTAAAATTGTTACAGGTCCCTATATACAAAATATCAAACTAAATGCAAATTAAATTTGCAATTATCAGAACTATCATTGAAGGGCAATTCAGCTCTTGTAATAATTAAGCTCATTTGTATAAAAATATGATAAACATAATAATAGCGTTGTTTGAAATAAATCGGACTAATATCATAAGACAGTTATGAATGTGTGAAATACTTATGAGATCACTAAGTCTATGCGAATATCAAAATGGCAGTTTGGTCAGTGGTTGTGACGTAGACGTGGATACCCCTACATTATAATTACATTATCAGGCCATATTTCAATTCATGTTTCTCTTCATATAT